GTTGATAATCAATTCTGTACCCCACAGATATGTACAATCAATTATTTCAGTTGGAAAAAAAACCAACCTGAAACTATTCCTACTCTGATACAGAAGAAAACTTTAAAAAGTTCATGGAAAGATTCATATTATTGTCCAGTTCTCTTTTTCCACGAACTTTTTGAAGGGCCCTCATATGTTTCTCTCATCCATGCAGGTGTGCACAAAATAACCCTAGGACTGTCTTGAATCATCTTGCCTTTTCCTTAATCAAATACCTGAATTTATTTTCATCTCTTTCTGTGCTTTCCTCTCTTTCTCCTTATTTTTATACACCGTTGTAAAATATTAATTGCTCTGATCCTTCGTCCCAATATTAGAGTGGCCCCAAAGACCAACACAAAACAGAATAATTGAGCAGACTGCAGCAAAATCCTGTTTATAAGTATGAGGTCATATTGCTTTTGTATCCCCAATCTCCCTAACAGTAACTTAGAGCAGAAAGGTGTTCAGCTGATGAAGGGATCATCTGAAAACAGTTGGTAAAGGGAAGTGCTAGAAAATGAGGCGAGACTGAGGGATGTGCTCTTGACCTTGTATTGGTTCACATACATCATCCCTGAAAGTGCCCCAGCTCCCCAGGGCTGGGACCCAGGCAGTCTGACTCCAGAGTCTACATTCCTAACCCCTGCAATGTGCTGCCTGGAATTAATCCCTGGATATAGCAGATACCAATACAGTGTCTTGCCAGGCAGGGTCCCTCAACCATCTGCCCAGAATCACCTGGGAGATTGAGAAAATGCAGATTCCTAGTCCCTGCACTGCAGCTACTGATCTGGAGTCTCTGGAGTTCAGGCCTGGGCATCTTCACATTAACAAAGTTTCTAGATGATTAATAATCAACCTCGTATTTTAGAACCACTGCACTTACTGTCTTTTTACCGTAACTGTCTAATTGTCCAGACGTTAGGCTGAATTTCTAAATAATTATTTTTATTTTGCTACATCTTTTGTCAGTCAGCAAACATTCATTGAGTCCTCAGGTTCTGTGTGAATCTCGGGGAGGGGGCAGGGAAGGGGCATTCACATTCATGAGACCTCCTTCTTTCTCAGCCACTCGCCCCTCTAATCCATTCACACAGCTTCACTTTGCTCTCTTTGTGTAATTGTCCCTATTCATGTGTTTGTTTTCTTGCTTATGACTGTTTTTTCCTATTGGACTTTAAGCTCCATGCAGACAGGATAGGGTTGGCTTTGGTGTCCCCAGGACTTAGCATAATACCCGGCACTCAGGTATCAGATATATTGTTGAATGAATGAATAAATGAATGAGCAAATGAGCAAAAATAACAAAGTTATAGTCTTGTAGGAGACATGGGACATACATATAATTAACTGTAATAAAAGAGGTAAATAAATAAAGAGGTTAGCAAATAAGTGCAGATGGAAGTGGAAAGACTGCTTCCACTATATATAAATGTGGGCAATTTCAGGTAAGAGAAATGGCCTGGGAAAAGATGTGAAGGTGAGAAAGTTTGAAACACAGAGGAGGAACCCAAGACTTTTCTTTCTTCAAAACAGCAAAATGCATGAAGGAGAAAGTAGCGGGTAGACAGAAGACAGTCTTTGAATGTCAGGCAAAGGTATTTTGTTAACTATTCGATATGAAGAGAAGCCACTAAGGGTTTGTTTTTTGTTTTTGTTCTTTTTGAACTTGGTTGTAATAGGATCAGAGATATATTAATCTAATAGTAGTGTCAAGGTAAACTGGAGGGAGGCGATTCTGGAGGCAGGGAGTTGGGGATGCTTTTGATCTCACACTAACTTCTTTCCCCAATGTATATTTCAGAAGCTAAAGCAGATGCTCTTTTCTCAGGGAAACATTAACTCTTTTAATCCTCACTATAAGAACAGAAGTTTAAAAAAAAAAA